GATTGATAAGTTTCCGGCCTGACCAAGAAAAACAAGGTTTTTAAAAATTTTTTTTTTTTATTTCTCAACATAATCTCCTCCAAGGCTGATACATTTCTCATAGCGGTGTTCCAGTCTATTAATGCCATCTCTATAGACTGATTCGTCAAGCTCCTCAAAATAACCATTTACAGCTTCGATTACTTCTTCATTGTCCGCAAATCTCTTACCGCCAAGCCATTTTTTGAGATTAGGGAACAGAAAATAGTCACTCGGGGCTAGGTCTGGAGAGTAAGGAGGGTGCGGCATCAATTCAAACTTTAGATCGTTGATTTTAGCCGTCGCAACGATTGACGTGTGCGCTGGTGCGTTATCGTGATGAAACAAGATTTTTTTCTTCGCCAGATGAGGTCGTTTAATTTTCACCTCGTGGCTCAAACGTTGCAATAAGTCTGCGTAGTATTGACCAGTGATAGTATTACCCTTTGCAAGGTAATCAATGTATATACGTAATACCTCTTGCATCCCAAAAAACAGTAGCCATAACCTTGTTCGCCGAAAAAATTGTTTTTGCCTTCTTTGGAGTTGGTTCCCCTGGTCCAATCCACTGTTAGACTGTTCTTTGGTTTCAGGAGTGTAGTGGTGGACCCACGTTTCGTCAACGGTTACGAATCGACGCAAAAATTCGCTTGGATTACGCTTATACAATGACAAATTTGCGGTAGAAATGTTTTTTCGAGTCAATTTTTGGTCGACTGTTAGCAAACGCGGCACCCATCTTGCACAGAGCTTTTCCATATGCAAATGTTGGTGCAAAATATGTTGCACACGTTCATATGACATCTTACAGGTCTCAGCTATCTCACGCACTTTCAATCTGCGGTCTCCCAGCACTATTTGATGAATTTTTTCGATCATATCTGGAGTTGTGACCTCAACGGGGCGTCCTGAGCGAGGCCCATCAGAGGTGCTCACACGACCCTTTTTAAACTCGGAAACCCACTGCTTAACGGTTGAATATGACGGGGAGGATGTCCCCAGTGTTGAGTCCATCTCTTTTTTAATTTCCTTCGGCGTTAACCCCTTCAAATAAAAGTATTTGATGACAGCACGATTTTCCTGCTTTTCCATTTTTACGAAAACCACAGAGGCGTCTTGTTCAGCGTGCTGTCAAACCTACACTAGCAAGGAGATCGGGCTGAAACTATAGCTACAAGCTATCCAAGGATGGTACTATAGAATGTCACCTCAAGGTAGGCCTAGTGGCGTCATCTCTTGGTTAGGCCGGAAACTTATCAATCCACCCTCGTATGTGCATGAACTAGGTTAACACGAAAATCATTGCATTCTCGAGTAACATTGTAACTTAATTCTTCTAGGAATGTAATTAAGTATATCGGGTAACGCATGTTAAAATTAGCGCGAACTTTCTACACTCTTTTGAGGAGCGGTGAAATTTATCTAGTTGCATGGACACGAAACGTTCAGGATCAAACTAATAATATTGAATATTCCCAAAATGTAGCGATACATGAAATTATAGGACAGCTGGATGTTATTCACTGCTGTCATCTTCAAAGCGAGTTCCTTGGGACACATGGAGCGATCCCAGCGCTTATAGCATGAAGGGAATGCATTATGAAAGTCTTGTTTTGTTATTGAGTTCAGACTTGCGTCAAATGTGGTTAGAGGTTGCAAGGAGCCAAATCGGGCAAGTAAAGTAGATGAGGAAGAAGTTACTTCCTTTTGTTAGAAGCGACTTAACCATGTGGTATTCTTTGTTTTATATATCTACAAAGGTAACCGGTTAAAAATCAATTTTACACCACGTTAGTTATTACCCACCGCATGCCCCATTAGTTACAAAAAGTTAATTAGTGTATACCATAAAATAATAATTTCAGTTATGACTGTCTACACTACAGAATGTGATAAATAAACCGAAGATACAATAGCACGGGTTCTTCCTGAGGCTATACCTGACGTAATTGTGAAAATGGTGCTATTGACATTTGCGTGTGTTTTATTTCAGGTAGTAAATCTGTCAAGGTACAATTTGTAATTTGCTTCACGATTATTATTATTACGCAACAACACATCTTATTTGATGGCCATCTCTTCTATTCATTAGGAACGGTATATACAACATTTATTACCATGTGCAAGTGTCTCCACATGCTCTGTAATAATCTGTAAAAATTTCGCCAAGGTGGACGACTTGCAATTTATAATAGCAATGAAATATGAAAGCGAGATTCAATGCAACATATATATTAATAGACAGATCAACATTTAGTCACTACATACTTATTACCCCCAAAGGGGCGAGGGTGAATGGTATCGAAAGAGGAGGTCTCCCCCACCACTGTACCATAAGAAGTTCGTGGCGGTCTCACCCCTATAAAAAGTTATGGGGGTTAGATGGGGGTGGGGTAGGGGGATCGAAAGAGGGTAAGGGGGATCGAAAGAGGGTGGTCACTTGAGTAAAACCCCATAAAAAATTTGCGGCGTTCTCACCCCCATAAAAAGTTATGGGGGTTGAAAGTTGATTATTTTGACAATTTTCATACACTATAATTCAAATAAAATTCAATAAAAAAAATATTTTCAAGCGGGTGGAGGTGGGGGATCGAAAGAGGGTGGTCACTTGAACAAAACCCGATAACCTAACCTAACCTACCCTATTGATAAAGATATTTAAATAATGTTTTATATAACTTTCTCAATATTTTTATGTATTTTTCCATTAGTTTTACCTTTGAATATTGTTTAAGAATGACTATATAAATATTTACATGCCTGGAAATGTATAAAAATTGGCATTTTTATTAACTTTTAACCCCTATAACTTTTTATGGGGGTGAGACCGCTAGGAACTTTTTATGGTACAGTGGTGGGGGAAACCTCTTTCGATCCCCCCCCATCCCCACACCTGAAGGGGGTGGGGGCCATCATCTAGACCTTTACCAACGTCTTTTAAGGTCTAAATTCCTGCAAAGCAAAAGGAAGAACTTACTTCGCTCGTGTTGTCTTTTCCTGCTGTAGCCTGACTAAGTTCAAGTAAAAGCAATCTTTGGGTTATATGAAAATGTTTATATTTGATGGCTTAAAATTGTATAAAACACAACTGGCATCAACCCCACCCCACCCAGTAACCCCTTGTCCCTTTTTTCTTTGTTTTTTCATAAGCATTTTAGTCATACATGTTCTATATCATTTCGTATGTTTGGAAAGTTGGTAAAACAATTATCTTATTAAAATGTGAAACCGTTACTAAAAATTATTTACTTTTACCAATTAATTAATTAATTTTAATTAATTCTGAAGCTATTTATAGAGTGATTTAAGGCATGCGCTTATAAAAACTATCTCATTCTCGTGCCGAGAAATCAGATTGCTATTGTACATAGTGTGCTAAAATTTAATTGACCGTTCGTTTCCATTATCGTTATCGTGGGTTTTCACCTAATGCTAATTAGAATTTTGTATCATTATTGCATCTGGAATTGTCATTATAAACATTTGAAACTGTGTCATTGGGCAAGAAGCTACTTTTTAGTAATGTAATGGCAAAATTTACGACGTTTGTCACTGGGACAAGGTATCGTATTTCATTCGAAAGGTTGCAGAAGGATGTCGAGTGGGTGTAGTACACACTTATTAGTCAAATGTTACGTTATGAATATCGAGTAGGTGTTGATTTCCATGGTTTTACAATAAAACAGCAAAGTGTTCACGCGATATCGAAGAATAAATTATTGAATGTTATCATGATGTAAATTAATTGTGTTTTGGAATGCGGTTAAAAAGGTGTTGTCCCACACCGAACCTAACCGAACCTTGTTTAGCCCTTATTGTTTCAAAAAAATACCAGCTGATTTTATTGGTTAATAATTTACGGTCTACAGTGTACTGAAAGGTTTGCTATTTGTAAATTTGTTTACTAAAAAGTTATATTTGAATGGCTGGGCATTACATTGAGGTTGAGGATTTCAACCCAACCTAAAATGAGTGAAGTATTAATTCTTTATACTTTTGAATAGAACAGTTACAAAGGGACAGTCAGTAAATTGGGATTTATCATATAAATTTTTTGGGTTTTTTGAGATTAAGAATTTCTCGAAAAGTTCGATTTTTTCCTAATGTACTAAACCGATCTTGACGATTCGTTCACATTCTTGGTTCAATTAAGTGTGAACTCAACATTATGCATATCATCCAATTGTCATCATCATCATCATCATCACCAGATCGTCAGTCCTAAGACTGGTTGGACACCACGAGCTAATCTTCGCATTTCCCTAAAACTAGAAAATCCTACATCCTTAACTATTTGCGAACAGTAATTTAATCTAGATCTACCTTTACCCCTCCTAACTCCTGTTTCTGCCTCTAATATGTCTCTGACTAGACCTTCATGCCTGAGAAGGTATCGTACCATCCTATCTCGCCTATTTCTTACTTTTTTTCATAGAATACTCTGTTCTCTTACTCTTCTAATACCTTTTCATTTCTAACCTTCTCTATCCACGGTATCCTCATCATTTTGCCTGTAACACCATATTTCGAACGCTTCTGTCCGTTTGTCTCTTGAAAATTTTACTATTGATTCTTTATACCTTTGAATAGAACAACCACAAAGGACAAGTCAGTATATTGGGATTTATGATATCTTTTGGATTTTTGAAAAATTAAACCACACATGCCTACCTACTTAAATTTATCATCAAAATGTTCTTCGTTCTATCAATATTCAAGTCTTTGTCAGATTCCCAAACTTGAAAAGTTGTAGAAAATTTGGTGATTTTTCTTTATTTTTTTTGTCATTCCCTTAACTGAACGCAATATTGATTGCTCTTGTATTATACATGAATATATGAGATCATGATAGTGTCTTGATTTATTTAAATCTTACCTCAAAAAGTCTTAATGTTGATATTGAATATTTGGATTTGGAGTTAGCTCACTCTAACTAACTTGTTTTCTTGACTTTTTTACATGTTTCCTTTTTTTTGTTGCAGGTTCTACTTCAGACCTGATGCCTTCCGTAATGGGTGCCTTCGACGCCCTCTGGGACAAATCCTCTCAAGGGTTGGGGAACGACTTGGACGAAGGGAACGGGTCCCTTATCGCGAGTGCAAAAATAACGTCATCGGTCAACAGACGTCAAATCAATAATTTCGCGCGTCTTTCGCGTAACGTGCAAAAAATTTTAGCGAACGTTCCTGACGAAGAACTTAGTAAGAACTTTAGTGGCGACGAAACGTTATTGAAAAAGTTTAATGACGCGCGGCGTTCAACGAGGTACCAGTCGTTCCAACAACGAGTATCTCCTGAAAAGAACACCCACAGGTTGGCATTATTTTTTTTTCTTCGCATTTTAAGGACTTTTCTTATCCAATTCATTCATTTCTTATCTTCCTCTTGAAAATTCCCAGTTAGGAACAAAACTTTACTTCAAAAACTAAGTCTAAAAGGTTTGACCTAACACCAGGTCTTACTCGACCTTAACGGCCTGTGAGATAGGGTAAAGCCCTTGTAGAAAAATACATTTTTTTTGTACAATAATGTTAAGTTCAAACTTATTGGAATTTTTTATAACGTCTTATCGTAATGTTTTGCCAGTCACCACCGTTGAGAACGTAATGTTTGACTTCCTCAATTAGAACTGCAACATTGCATTGTTGGTACGGTTTATCGCATTTGTTGTTCCTTTGGTTGTAAACAATTTCGTCGTTGTTTTACAGGAGTAACGAGAGTTTGGACATAATCTCCCCAAATGTGCAGAAAATCTTATCGAATTTGCCAGACACGGAACTCGTTCTGCCCAGTTTAGATAACAGCAGCAGTAATAACACATTGAAAAACAACTCCTTCCTGCACAGAACCGATGGTCTGAAGGTTTCGAAGAGTACGTCAAACATAGTCGGCAGTGATAGTGGCAACAACAAAAGCAACGGTAGTTTTTTGTTTCACGCCAGTGCGCACAGTGTCGGTGGTAGCAGTTTTGACGGTAGATGTGGGGGTTGTGACGATGACGTGCCCGCGTGTACGGTGAGTGAAAGGGACGAGGAGCAGGATGAAGTGGAAAGTGAAGGGTGCGCGGAACTGGATGCGCCGCGACCTCTTGGTAGTTATCTGCACAAATCGCCATCGGGAATCGCGTCCAGGACTCCGGCTGGCCGGAAAAACCTGGGCAAATTTTTACAGGTGAGTCTCTCAATTACCTGCCCTCTAACTCCACAACATGACTAGATAATAAGAATATAAATAAATGTAGGTATCTAATGCAAAAGAGGAGATAGGACTGCTCCGCATCATCACCACAAGGTCTTCAGTTTAAAGACTTCATATTTTCGCAGTTCCCCAAAACTAGAACGTGTCACATCCTTAACTATTTGCCAACTGTAATCTAACATAGGTCTTCCTCATTTCCTCTTTATTCCTGTTTCTGGATCTAGTATGTCGAACTACTCCTTTTTATCTCAAACTGTTTGATTTCTCCTATTTTTTGACGTCTACAGTTTCCTTTCTGTTATGAAAATCTGACAGCCAAAACCCTTTGCTCTAGAAACGTTGGTTCTACATTCTTCTTGATATAAAAATGAAGACAATGAAGTAAGAAGCGATTCTGAAACGAAATTTACTGGAATTCTTGTCTTTCTATCTGTATCTCAGCTTTTGTTCCATTCTTTCCCTTCTTTGCATTGAGCGCATTTCTCCATGTGTTGTCTGAGTCTTTTCCCACTGGCTTCCATTCCTCCACCGAGCGGCATGACCTAGAGGTTTAGACCATTGCTTAGGATTCGGGAGGACGCCGGTTCGATTCCGGGCCCGTCTGCCTTGGTCAAAGTTTTGCTGTGGTTTCCGTGGATCACTTAGGCAAATGCTGGTGCAGTAATTTTCCACAGATAATCTTTCATTCTCTTTTGTCTTCATTTCGCCCGTCTCAACTTTCTCACCCGTACCACCATCCACCCATTCCCACGATTCGTGAAAGCAGGTCGAAGAGGGCCTTCCGCCCTACCTTCCGGCGTAGTCCGCAGGGACTGCTCGCCCACCAGCATTACTGGCTGGTGGGAATGAAACACCTAAAAGTTTTTTTTCCATTCCTCCTTTAACCATTAGGTTCTGCACTGCTTTTGGGATTTGCTTTTCTGTGTCGGTTTGTTTATTGGTATTTTAACATTACATCGCTCTGCTATATATACATACATAAGGGTTGTGCCTTTCAGCCTCTTTCAAGACGATGTACTTTGGCGTCAATCTCTCCAAGCCTAGGGTCAATCTCACGCATCTAGTCTGCGGGTTTTCCAGTTTTCCGTGTCTAAAACTGTGTATCCCTTATAAAATGCGGTTTTACTTCCACTATTTGTCTTGACAATCGATGTTTTTTATTGTATTACTTGAATAAATTTAAATAAATACATCTGCAGTTTCAGTCGATCGTAAATTATTGTTTTCACCGACAATGGTTTATTACAGATAACTACATCATTTAAAAAGTTAATTTGTAATTGTTCCAGTTTTATATCAACAATTTTACAAACAATTCTACACAGGAAAACAAAACGATTTCTCTTCTGTTTTATTATTGCAACTTTTATGGTTTTCTATTATTAACAATTAATTAATTTGTGAAAATTTTCCTCGCGCATCTCAGAATTTCTCTGCTCTAAATAAAACCAAATAACGATTTCTTTTTTAATTCAATTAATTTTTGGCCAAAATGAATTTACGATAATTTTATAGTAGGATCTAAACGTCTCAACCAATTTGCGATAGATTCCAAAAGAAATAGATTAAACTGATTCACGATTTTTCGTGAGATAACAACAGCGTGACATTGTGATAATGGACAATTGTAAATTTGTACCGTAAGCCATTGAAAAAATGTCACGTAGCCAATTATCGCCTTGAAGTAAACAATTTACCAAGAAACTGCTTGAGAGAACCGACTGCTAATAAGGAAGTTGGTCGCGGTTACTCCGTGAGTGTAAATACACTAAACACTTAAAGATGATGGCTAAAAAGAGACCGTGTTCCGTCTCTTTGCTTTTCATTATTATCTCTCATTCTCGTGCTGGCTGGTTGGTACTGTTATATTTAGACAGCGGTATATTATTGCAAGTACATACATGAATACATTGTATCACAGATGCGTACATGGAACTTTTGAGGCGCTAATGTTTTACCACACGTAGTGATAATATTTTAGACTATTTACAGTTTCGGTTATAGTTACAAGAAGTACAAGACTTTCTTAAGGTTACAGATCAATTTGATGACCACCAAAAAACTCGAAAAGATTAGGTTACATAATTTGGTCCTGATTGAATGATCCGATTTGGACCTAATTAAGCAGCCAGGTTTGGCCCAGATAGGACCTTATGTGATTCAAATAGGGTGTTCACATTACGGCGTGATCAGGTTAAAGGGATGAAATAGAGTAATCCATCAGGGTCAGATCAATATTAGAAGACGATATCGTAAAAAGTCTTCAGGACTAGATCAGTCGAAATATAGGTAAAAGAGTTCACAAGGGTTGAAATCGACGCAGTCTCTGATTAGGGTCATGTATGATCAATATGCTTCAATAGACGATTCCTTAGAAACTAGCCTAGATAACGATAGGATCTGTTCTAACAAATTTCCAGTCGGGGAGATAGTATTTGAGTCATGTAGTAGAAGTAATTAGAAGGAATAAAAACAGCATCAGTTCAAGAATTTTATTTCGGTCGTATGTTCCACGACTTATAGATGTTTTCCTTGTTTAGTTCCTTTGTTGAAGAGTCGGATTTTGAATGCCCGATACATTACTCACGGTGAAATAGAAGCCTCGGGCATGAGTACTTCATCTCTATGTTAAAATTTCCGAACAGGTTATTCTAATTCCACAATTCTTCCGCAAGCCTGTGAGCGACTAATAACTCCGTTGCTACTGTATATTTAGTTTTCCTGTTCTCCTGCTAAATAATGCAGAAATTTTAATTAATTGAGATATCGCGGAGTCAGACGCTCTTCAGATGTTTTTCATTAAACTGGCGCCAGGTCTTCTATTTACCCATCGTACAGTTAACTATTTTATTTGATGTTTTGATTGGACTTGCCGGAAATTTTAGTCTCTCCGATCCCAAACACGCGCTACTATTGCTATTTCAAGTGAAAACTTTCGTACTTGAACAACAGAAAATAATTACATTCGAACGCTTAAAGTAATTAGTAAATTATGCAGTTGACAAAAATATTGGTCAGTATCAAATACGATCGCAGGTATGTTATGACATTCGCGAAGAGATTGAACGTTTGCCTGTGAAATAATTTTTCTGAAAAGACCAAAAATTTTCCAGCTGCACTACTACAGTATCAGGATCGCCATTAAATGAACATAACCGAAGGAATCTGGCAAATTTTTGACGTAAAGAGTCCCGAATCCAGACATTCCAGACCTAAGCAACAGCCGATCCAATTCTCGTTATTTACCCTCACTTTCGTTTCGTCGTTTTCCGCAATATCTTCCATAATTTTGAATTGAACGGTCCGATTCCAATGAGCGTACCACCAAAATTCTCTGGAGATACCGAAGGCTAAATGCGTTGCTCAGTAGTCCGGTGTTTTATTTGCTTAGAAATACATATGTATGTATTTATGCTTATGACAATGAATTTAACGACAGGTTGCAAAAGCCATTATGTGTATACGTATGTGTATTCATGTGTTTCATTAGAGCATGCAAATTGGATAATGCAACGTGTCATCGATTCTGGGAAAGATTCATTAAAATTCCGTGGATATTGTAAACAAAACCGTACTAGTGGATGGCGATGAGTCATTTAATTGGTATTTTTATGCATATTATTGTTGACGTTTATTGTAAATATGGTTACCATTGTATTCACATTGTGATTTCTCGTGGGGATCCTGGTAAACCTATGGATGTCAAGTGCCTTGCATTTATTAAAGAAAGCCTTTTTATTATCATTGGTGTACAAAGTGTGATTCATTGATCATCAATATGAAGTCGTCAGTCCTAAGACTGGTTTGACACGCACCTCCACTCTTTCCTTTCCTGAGCTAATCTTCGCATTTCCCTAAAACTAGAACAACCCACATCCTTAACTATCGGGTTGATCGGAAAGTCATTTCGTTTTTTCCCGACAGAGGATTTAATTGTATTCTTTTGCACCCAACTTCACATTTAAGCCATATAATTTTTATAAGCTTTAAGAGCTCATATAGCAAGGCTTGTGTGTGAAAAATTCCAATTAATTCCACGCAGTAGTTTTTGGTTGGTGCCCTTTTAAATATGGAGAGCGATAAGCAGCATGTTCGACATATCTTACTGTTTTACTACAGAAAGGGTAAAAATGCTGTTCAAGCCAGAAAGAAATTGACTGATGTGTATGGAGAAGGTGTGTTGACAGTACGCCAGTGCCAGAACTGGTTCGCTAAATTTCGATCCGGCAATTTTGATGTCGAAGATGCACCACGTTCGGGAAGGCCGGTTGAAGCTGATAAAGACGCGATAAAGGCATTAGTTGATGTGAACCGGCGAATAACAACACGTGAGATCGGATTGAGGTTAAATTTATCAGATTCAACAGTTTATGACCACTTGAAAGGCCTGGGATTATCCTCGAAGCTCGATGTATGGGTTCCCCATGTTCTCACAGAGAGAAATCTGTGTCGCCGCATTGACGTCTGCGATTCGCTTCTCAAACGTCACGAAAATGATCCGTTTTTGAAGCGCATCATCACTGGGGACGAAAAATGGGTTGTATACAACAACGTCAAACGCAAGAGGTCATGGAGCAAAAAAGATGAACCGGCTCAAACCATTTCCAAAGCCGATATTCACCAAAAAAAGGTGATGCTGTCTGTTTGGTGAGATTTTAAAGGAATGGTTTTTTTTTGAGCTATTACCGGATAACACAACGATTAATTCGGAAGTCTACTGTCATCAGCTGGACAAACTGAATGATGCACTTCAACAGAATAGGTCAGAACTAATCAACAGGAAAGGTGTAGTGTTTCACCAAGACAACGCGAGACCTCACACAAGTTTGGTCACTCGCCAAAAGCTTTTACAGCTTGAATGGGATACAATGCTACACCCACCATATTCTCCAGACCTGGCACCATCGGATTATTATTTGTTCCGGTCACTCCAAAATTTTTTAGACGGTAAAACCTTCACCTCAAAGAGGAGGTCAAAAACCTCCTCGATCAGTTTTTTGCCAGCAAAGACCAAAAATTTTATGAGCGTGGAATTATGCTACTACCAGATAGATGGCAAAAGGTGTTGGACCAGAACGGTCAATATATAATTTAATAAAGTATTTGTTTATAATACGAAAACTGTCTTTCATTTCCACAAAAAAAACGAAATGACTTTCCGAACAACCCTATATTTGCGAACAGTAATCTAATCTAGGTCTATCTCTACCCCTCCTAACTCATGTTTCTGCCTCTAATATTTCTCTGACCAGACCTTCATGCCTGAGAAGAATCTGACCTATTTCTTATTGACTTGCATAGAGTCCTGATAAATTGATGGTACCTATTGAAAATTGTAATTGTTTAGGTACATCTTCAATTCAAAACAAATTTGACTGAAAGAGGTGTTGAATTCATGGACATACTTTCATCTTAACATTCAGGGGGCTTCTGGCATAATTGTAAAGTGAAATTCACAAATTTTAGAATTATTATAGTGTTACAGGTACTAGTGTTTTTTCAAAGTACCTATCAAGAATCCCTGACACCGTTACTAAGTTGGTAGTACCTACACTTTGATATTAATGATTGATTTAGGTTTTATGAAACCTTTTGGTTAGTTAAATTCTTATTTCCTATTTTTAAATCTCACTCATGACATAAAATGTGCAAACTATAGTAGGTATATTTTTTCGAAATTTAAATCATCCTCTTGAAACAAAATCTACTGAAAGAAGAAAAGCTTATATTGAAAATAACTCCACTAACATAGCAATTTAAGAACAGCGTAGAATCTGAAAATGCTTCTTTATGAGTCAGATGTTTCTTTGAACCAAGTTACTGAATACATTCAGTGACAGTCGTGGTATTCATCATTAAGACTGCATTTCGACCTTAACCTGGAATGAAAAATGTAATTGACACATAACAAATCATCACTTGACTACATTCTACATTGTTTCGTTTTGTATGAAACAGAGTAACATGTCACATTATAGGCCACATTGTATGCCATTCATTATATGAATTACGTGCTACATCTCCAGATCTACTTTCAGAGGTGGCAGTTAGATAATATTAATATCATTTGCTGTGTAGAGTGGCAACTTATTGACAGTTTTCCAATCGTTTTTCGGTGGACAGTTGGAGGATAGGCTAGCGACAAAATGACATCTTCCAGCGATAAATTATAACCTCTGGCATTATTTTTCTACTCATTTCTGTTTTGAGGGACACTATGCGTAGTGCCAGCTTGATGTCAAGCTAGCATTTCGACTACTTTCGAGTAACCTTTAGGAATAACAAATTTTATATTAGATTAATCTTCGCAAATAGTTAAGGATGTGGGCTGTTCTAGTTTTAGGGAAATGCGAAGTTTAGCTCAGGATAGGAAAGAGTGGAGGTACGTGTCCAACCAGTCTTAGGACTGATGACCATATGATGATGAAGAAATCAGCGACAAATTATGAACTTTAGATAGATAGATAGATGAGAAACATAATTTAGTCGTACTAGCTTGATGTACGTTTTTAATAATGGATCTCGCTGTAGGTGCAACCAGGGATGGAGTTAAAAGGTAGAAATGTAAGAATCGATTAACGAATGTACGGAAGGAGTTTTTTCACTAAGATCCATGAGATTCTGAACAACCTCTAACTCCAGATATCATCATTAAAACCGGTCCATCTCTCTGAGTGATTTCATTCAAAATTTTAGAAGAAAATATGGTATTTGAACAACGTTTTATCTTTGTTCCAGGTGCCCAGTGAAAGCAGTGTAGGAACCAATAGCACAGCTTCGTCCGAAGTATCCAGGCCCGTATCACTCACCAGTTTGGGCTCGTGTTCTTCGAGTAGTAGCGGCGGCGGTCCCACTCAGCCCGGTTCTGCGTATTTAGCGTCAGCCGAAAGTTTAGACAGCGATCTTGAACCTTCAGGAAGTCAAGGTAAGATCGAATTAAAAACAATAGCATAAATATGCAGCAGGGTGAAAATTTGCAATGTTTGTGCCGTTCAATCAATGCCGATTGGCCAATCCATGCGATTTTCATATTTATCGAATTTTAGGTAATGACGCGTGAATTAGATAAACTGTTTTTGAATGTTTCTGGTTATTTAAGTTTACTTTTTTGTTGCAAAATATTCTTATATCTGTTAGGCAATCTTTTTGTAACTTTTTCACATTCGTTAAGGTAATTCACCTAACATAGAAATTACACATTTCTTTGTTGACTTTTTTTATGTGTGTGGAGTATACATAATTTTTCAACCACGTCTATGTGAAAATATCAACAGCATTTCTAAAAATTAATCGAAACTATCAGTCTTTTAAATTGATTTTGTTGAACTTCCATTACTTGATTATTCATATGAAAAGATGCCTGTTGGCCTTTTATTTACAAGCTAACGCTACAATTTTTATCAGTCGACAGTGAAACAAATTAATTAAGTCCAGTAGTGAAGTTAATAAGTCTAAAGCAAAGCAAAATATCTTCATTAGGAGCTGTCTATTTCAAAGCACAAATACAACTAAATTAGTTCGTTCATCTGTTTCATTAGTGGGATCAAGTGTGGTGAATCAATTTTCCCAGACGTTCGTTCACCTTTATAATCAGCGCCTACTGTCAAAATTGACTCGTTGTCATTCCTGGGCGTCTCTTTAAATTTTACTTCCGTATACAAATCAAATTCGATCTGCCGCTTAATAAGAACACAAATCGTATCATATCGATGTGTTTTGAGTTCGTTAAAATAAAATGTTTAATTGTTGTCTCATCTGATTCAATTTTCCTTGACGCTGACTACCAAGATCTTCTAATGTAAGTCAAAACCGGCCGCCCGTGTAGCAGGCGAACGTTCTTCCTTCAAGTAATTCACTGTGATAATGCCTCTTGTAAAGTCCGTCTATCTTAAGGTGCTATCTAATGATTCTAATGACAAATTAAATTTTACCTGATATAGTTAGTCGTTTTTGTTTACTACAAGGACTTTAAGAAATCTTATTTTTCCTAACATAACAGTAGATGATAGAAGTTTAAAAATTGAAGGATGGTATTGTATAAAAAATTAATTGTCCTTTTTTATCAAGAGAATCATTCAAATAACAAATCAACTACTCCTTACAAAATTTATCAAAGACGATAATGTCGCTTTTCGTGTGATTGATAGAGTTTTTTAATTAATTCTTTTTTATTTAATCGAAAAAGTGCTTGAGAGTCTGTATTTTTTCCCAGAAATATACGAGAGTGGATTGATAAGTTTCCGGCCTGACCAAGAAAAACAAGGTTTTTAAAAATTTTTTTTTTTTATTTCTCAACATAATCTCCTCCAAGGCTGATACATTTCTCATAGCGGTGTTCCAGTCTATTAATGCCATCTCTATAGACTGATTCGTCAAGCTCCTCAAAATAACCATTTACAGCTTCGATTACTTCTTCATTGTCCGCAAATCTCTTACCGCCAAGCCATTTTTTGAGATTAGGGAACAGAAAATAGTCACTCGGGGCTAGGTCTGGAGAGTAAGGAGGGTGCGGCATCAATTCAAACTTTAGATCGTTGATTTTAGCCGTCGCAACGATTGACGTGTGCGCTGGTGCGTTATCGTGATGAAACAAGATTTTTTTCTTCGCCAGATGAGGTCGTTTAATTTTCACCTCGTGGCTCAAACGTTGCAATAAGTCTGCGTAGTATTGACCAGTGATAGTATTACCCTTTGCAAGGTAATCAATGTATATAATACCTCTTGCATCCCAAAAAACAGTAGCCATAACCTTGTTCGCCGAAAAAATTGTTTTTGCCTTCTTTGGAGTTGGTTCCCCTGGTCCAATCCACTGTTTAGACTGTTCTTTGGTTTCAGGAGTGTAGTGGTGGACCCACGTTTCGTCAACGGTTACGAATCGACGCAAAAATTCGCTTGGATTACGCTTATACAATGACAAATTTGCGGTAGAAATGTTTTTTCGAATCAATTTTTGGTCGACTGTTAGCAAACGCGGCACCCATCTTGCACAGAGCTTTTCCATATGCAAATGTTGGTGCAAAATATGTTGCACACGTTCATATGACATCTTACAGGTCTCAGCTATCTCACGCACTTTCAATCTGCGGTCTCCCAGCACTATTTGATGAATTTTTTCGATCATATCTGGAGTTGTGACCTCAACGGGGCGTCCTGAGCGAGGCCCATCAGAGGTGCTCACACGACCCTTTTTAAACTCGGAAACCCACTGCTTAACGGTTGAATATGACGGGGAGGATGTCCCCAGTGTTGAGTCCATCTCTTTTTTAATTTCCTTCGGCGTTAACCCCTTCAAATAAAAGTATTTGATGACAGCACGATTTTCCTGCTTTTCCATTTTTACGAAAACCACAGAGGCGTCTTGTTCAGCGTGCTGTCAAACCTACACTAGCAAGGAGATCGGGCTGAAACTATAGCTACAAGCTATCCAAGGATGGTACTATAGAATGTCACCTCAAGGTAGGCCTAGTGGCGTCATCTCTTGGTTAGGCCGGAAACTTATCAATCCACCCTCGTATATATTTGTACATACATATAGAAACTTCTTACAGTATTTATTTACTGTAGACACTATCCCACGCATTATTATCTTGTCAAATTGACTTAATGATGTAAGAAACTGTGGCCATGTCTAATCAATTGTCCGAAGCAAATCATGAACTGTTAATTTCCTGAGGAGAAGTTGTACTTGGCCGTCTGATTGCTGTTGTAATTATTATTTACCACATATTGCACTGCATTGAATGCATGGTTGTGAATCACAAAAAAATTGATTGAAAAGTGCAAATTTGGAGCAAGGTGTACATATGCGGCTATGTACATACATACATATACCTAATGTGTATGTTATGTGTTGTGTTAACGTTTGTGTATTGACAACACAGTTTCGTAATAATTGTCTCACCATGTTGCTCAGGATATGGTGTTTTTTTTTGGATTCTTGAAGGTATATACGTATGTAATACCTACACATTGTTGCATATGACACCAATAATACATGTGAAAAAGATGCAGACGAAAACGTTACAAATATAGAAACAACTTTGTACAACCAGAACAAGAATAATGAGTTATGTTTCACTAACTAGAACGAAAGTAGAAAAAAGAAAGGATAAGTCCAATACTCAATTATCGACAGACAGTTTTAAATAATACCAAATATTTGCTGATTGATTCGCATCGATCGAAAAATTATATAATCGTCAATAACCTACTAACTAGACTAGAGCGGTTAGAACGCTTACTTTTACTCACTACAGACGTTGTAAGGAATATCGTAAACAAAGGAAAGATGCCAGATAGGAATTGCAGCGGACACCAATAATTTCTGGATTATTCAAACTGATAGGGAAGCATTGTAATATAAACTAAAACTGTCTTCCTCGTGATACACACCATCTCCTTGGTAAATGTGATCTTGTTATGCTATTGGCAGATGGCATAAAATCTATACCATTTTCAATAAATCAATTAGCAGAGGTTTGGTATCAAAGGAAACAGCTGATAACTGAGCATCGGGTTTATTTTTTTTTTACTTCGCATATTTCTAAGAGGTGTAGAGGTAGATCTAGATTAGATTACTGGTCACAAATAGTTAAGGATGTGGGGTGTTTTGATTAAGGGAAATACGAAGATTAGCCGAGGATAAGAGAGATTGGAGGTGCGTGTCAAACTAGTCTTAGGACTGACGACCTTATGATGATGATTTCTTTCTATAAAACTATCTCAAATCAGATAAGATCTAACATCTGCAACCGAAATTCTAACTCAAAAACTACTAGCATTTAACTAACGATGACATATCGATAATTTTTATTGGGGTACTAAAAATAACGATCGAAATGTGTAATATCGAATTGTGGTAGTAGACAAGTTTCAGTTTCCATATTTTTTTATTTGTTTTTCCAATTATCTTCATCTATTTTTATTTCTAATTAGAACGGAACTGTATTTCGCACATGATGTTTTCGATAGTATTTTGTTTTTTAATCACTCTGAACAAAGTGGAAAACTACTTGGGTTGTTTTAAAAATAATTTTTGTGTCAATTGCTGAGTGAATGCTTCAAAGAAGCGTCAAAACTGATATAATTTTTGCTTGTTTAAAAGTAGACTCAAGGCAAAACAAATAACCATTAAATTAGGTCGGGTACGTGACAATTCTCTTATCGGATATTTTACTGTGAAAAGTGAGACTTTGAGTAAATTTAATCATGATGTAAAACATAAATGTGACACACTGACACTGCAGTTTTATTTTAATTTAAACCAGCTTTTGTATTACACAATTGTTATTTTTTTGTTGACGTTTCCCCTGTAAGTAGGCTCTTAATTTTACGAAAACCATTAGGAATTCACGACAGGACCAAGGTTGGTCCAAGATTGTTCAATCCTAATCCGATATTGGCAACCAATATTGGACTAAGCCTCTTAGCAAATGCTTATGTAATGTATATAATTTCGACCCAAGCCCGATTATCAAGCTTGATCCACAACTGGGCAGCCAATCTTGGGTAAATACTTGATGAAGAATATTAGCCCAGAATTGGGCAGCTCAAATTGGGTAAAGACTTGATAAACAATATTAGCTCAAGATTGGGCAGCCCATATTGTGCCAAGACTTGGTTAACAAATTAAATCCAAGATTAGGCAGCCAATATTATGTCAAATATAGTTCACACTGACCTGTTCATTGTTTGTTATGAATCGACCCAAGCTTGGTCCACAACTGGATAATCAATATTGGGTAAAGACTTGATGAAAAATATTAGCTCTAGATTGGGCAGCCCATATTATACCAAGACTTGGTTAACAATATAAATCCAAGATTGGACACCCAATATTACGTCAAATATAGTTCACACTGACCTGTACACTGTTATGAATCGACCCAAGCTTAGTCCACAACTGGACAGCCAATATTGGGTAAA